AAAAAAAAGAAACAAAAAAAAACCACTTTACGGACCACCCAGTTCAGAGAAAACATTCCAAGAGTGAGGGCCAAAATAAAAACTTAACTTTGATTCAAGTCTACTATTTCCACATTTTGGTGAAACGTCTAACCGTCTGGCAGCACACATTTTTAAAAAAGTCTGATCATCAAAATTCTTCAAACTTTAGATTGTAGCACCATTAGGAATACTTTGCATGTATGCTTCAAAATATTAGTTTGCCTCCTCAGAATACTTGCAACTGTCAAGCTCTCAACGAAGCAAATGCCAATATAAATGAAATGCTAAACTTTTTCAAGAGCTATCTGATCAATCTAAAAAAAAAAAGACGTGAAATTGAGAATAATAATTGTGTGCAATGGAAAGGAAAGTCACAGGTGAGGTGAAACAGTGTTAATGAAATCAAGTATACTAAACAGAGAATATGTATGATGATAGTCTATCTCCCTTTTAAATGTCCATCATTACATTTAAGTAAAAATCTGTAACAGTACAGAATAGAGGAACTAATTCGATAACCCATAAACAAAATGAGGAATACGGAAATAATAATAAGAGGTAGCTAGAAAAAAAGAGGAAATTTCTACTGCAATGTGATCAGCCATTTCCGAAGATCTACAAACAAATATAACCACTAGGAGAGCCTCGGCAAACAATACTCTGAACAACACAATCAATTCCTGATCTTTAATGAATCTAATGATTTATAATTAATACAATCTATGTTACCAATCCTGAATAGACAAGTGCTGTGCCATTTTTCGATCTTTCACCTAAATTATAAACGTAACATCATTTATATAAATATAGGCCTACCTAATCTATATTGAAGTACCTCAATGTTTCTTGACAGTAAGTGTTACAGAATTACGGAATAGTCTTGATCAGGCTTTTTTTAAAAACAATTTCATGCCTGGCACCTGGGCAAGTGTTAATGAAAAAAAGGTACCTACTCACGTCAAATTAACTTTTATCTTCATCTCTATTCATTTTCGTTAGTACCAGTCTGTTTCATTAAAACAGCCCTTGTCAGAAACAAAACTGTCACTCAGCACACTATAACTGACAGTATTTTCATTGCTTCAGAAAATATTGTAGCTATAAACATAGCTGCATTAAAACTGAAGCAAAAAAACTCACCCCTAATGACAAATGTCTGTTAGTGGACTGGTAAGAATGGATTGGACATGAGAGAGTTAGGGCAACAATGATCTCGATTAAATTGCTTTGTTCATTTGCAGATAGAACACATTTCCATTTTAATAGAAGCCCATTTGAGCAGGATTCTTTAGTGAAAGCCTTTCACGATTCTTAGTGAACATCTGGTAGTTTTTGAGCAGGGTGACTTTTATAAGAACAAGAGTTATAAAAGTTTGATATAATATTTTAAGAGTTAAGTGTTAGTATCATACGCCATTTTAAAATCAGGTTAATTTTACTAAACAGGTATTATTATTAGGTTGGCATATTTCTGTCACATCATATAGGAATTAATCGTACTTTGACAGGGACTACACAAACTGTTGCATACCCCATTAATAAGTTTTCCATTCTTCAAGGCGGGAACCTATAATAGGTGTTATACATTTTGAAACTTAAGCACTGTCATAAGTGAGATACTACAACAAGAACAACATTTTTTACTATTATCCTTTGCAAAATTGTGTAATAAAAGATTAAAGAAATATCTAGCCCCTTTGTTCTCATACACACAGTTCAATAAATAAAATTGCGCCACTGGAGAGGTACAAGCAATAATATGATACTGAATAAACATTCATGCATTAAACTGATTGCCTGATCCCTTCATATTCTTGCAATTACAAAAAGAGGTATACGAAGCAAAAATAAAGATTGAAAGTTCAAAGATAGTAGGAAATAGACAAAAAAGTGCACAGTTGGTACACAAGACTCCCAATGAACTACGAGATAAGACAAAGGTGACAGTACTGTGCAACTAAGAAGAACCGCTCAACTTACCCAGCCTGCCATCTTTTCTGCTTTCATCTTTTGTTCAAACAACTGAATTTGCTAGAGTGAGACAGAAACATAAAAGGCGTTTACAGTGCAAGTAAAAAGTTAAGGGAAAAGCAACAAGAAAGAAACAGCTGAAAAAACAACAACATGCTGCAGGAATCTTTTACAATAGCTCAAGTGGTTTTTATTCACAGCCAAAAACATGCAATATCAATCTGCCAGAGAGCCCAAGAAAAAAATAAAGTTATGATGAAACTCAGCGAATTACAGAGCAAAGAAAACTTTTACGCCTAAGGAAAGAAAGATGAAATGAGTAGGGCCTAGTACAAATGTGTCAGAGCATGATGTAGAAAAATTGTAGGGACACATCAATATTTGTCGCAGTTTAGTTCTAGTAAGAGTTTTACAGCACTTGAAATACAATAAGTACATGTAAGTGCCAAAGATTAGAGGTGATACAAGAGAATAATACACACAAAAAAAGAAGGACGAGAGATCAGGACAATAGATGTGTGATAGGAAAGAAGGAGCAAACTACACTAGAGCACCCGCCAACCACCCACATATTTGTCGTAGCTGTCACTGTTTGTGATTGTGAAAGTGTAATAGGTAATTTTTATAAATTAATAAATTATGAAATAGATGATTATAGATTTGTGCCTTACTGAATAGGAAAATATGGTTTAGCACTTCACTGTTTCACTGACATCACATTTTGACAGATAATGGAAACCCCACTGCAGGCGCTATTACTTAAAAACTCTGCGTCTAATCCTGGCTAAGCAAACAACAAAGAATAGCAATACTACAGGTTATTTTTTTATTATGGAAAACAAAATTAAAAACAGATAGAGAAAATAGCCCTCAATTCAGCTGCAACAAACTCTACAATCAATATTTTCTAATCAATTTCATAGTCTGTAAGATTTTGTATCTAACTATCCCCATATTTGGAAATGCAAGAGGAATGAATGAAAATTAACTCTAGAATCTTGACGCGCATTTATACTTCGATCTACAGGGGACAATTTTAAAATGAATTAAATTTGCACAGCTGTGGGGCTTTTTGTATTTTTTTCAGAAAGAGTTTTACGACACTTGCAACACAATTTGGTCATATAAGTGCCGAAGATTAGGGGTATTACAACAGAATAACAAAAAAAAAAAAAAAAAAAAAATGAGAAGAGATAAGGATCATAGATAGATGTTTGTTAGGGAAGAAGGAGCAAACAACATCAAAGTACCCGCCAATAAACCATTATCCACTTTTACATCACATAAAACAATCATGGTGATATCAAAGAGACATGTTATTTCTCAAGACAACCAAGACATTGCGCAGTGCTTATAGCTTTAAACGATGCCTAAAAACTTTAAAAGACAAAAACATTTATCAAGACAACTAAATGTCTTCAAAGACATTGGTGCATACTGCTTTAAACAAAGCATAAAAAAGGTTAAAAGACAAAATCATGTATCAAGACAACGAGACCACTATAAAAGTATTGTTACCTGAAGTGCTTGTTTCTCCAGCGTTAGAGAAGTGTCAGACACCATGTTTGCTGACAGAGCTTCCTTCTTTCGAGACTCATGCTGTGCCAAGAGACTGCGCCTACAACACAAACGCAAACAGCACAGACTTGAAGTTCAACGACTCATATTATTATCACAAGGGAAGGCACCTTCTCTCTCTCTTTCTCTCTCTCTCTCTCTCTCTCTCTCTCTCTCTCTCTCTCTCTCTCTCTCTCCCTCTCTTTTGCATACATACACACACCCACACACCACACACACACACACACACGCACGCACGCGCAAACACGCACACACTTCAAAAACATTGGAAATTTAATTTAGAAGAGAAATATAATGTTTAGGAAAAGTACTTGAATGAAAAGGGTATAAATACTATAAAGCATGTCACGGGAAAAACTGCGTTTATGACAAAAAATAAATGAAAAGAAGGCAGTTTATGCATTGAAGGTTTCGTAGTGGGAGAGGCCTTACGTTAGGATAAAAAATACATACAGTTCAAAATGAAGACACAATATAACAAAAATTACCCCTCCCCCTGCCTTCCAACTTTTAAAAAAAGCAATAAACAAAAAACAGACAAAAAACCTAACATAAATTGAAAAAACCGCAAAAAACAAAAACAAAAAAAATACCGAAAAATCAAAATCTGCCAGAACAGAAACTATATAAGGGGAAAAGCATCAGTAGGGTATACACACCATGAAATGTGTTCAATTCATTAGTAAACTTTTACATTCTGAGTGGATGAAAAACAGTCCCCTGTAAGCAATTAACCTCTTGTTCCCCTTAAATATACCATAGGATTAAAAAGAAAATTTTCAGAATACAAGTTATACCAAAAGACCCTTCCCCAAGATACACAAGAGTGAATGCTTGACTGATGTGCTCTGTGTTGTGGGTGTGGTGGAGCATTTGAAAAAGCTGTTTGTATTTGCTGTATTAAGTTGTTGTCCAATGTCATTGCTATAATATATGGATGTGACCCAATAGTATTTCCTATGATTTATCATTAATTAAAAACAATGCAGTGCGTGTCAGTTTTGTCAACTCCACCCACCAACCACCAACGTTTACTATGTAATGTTAAACTTGAAAAAATTGTTGTATATTTTAACATATATTTATGTATAGAGGTGAGTGTTTGTATGCCGTTGTAAACAAAATTTCCGCACAGTGATCTGTAAAATGGAATTTATTTACGAAGGTATTTAAAAAATTTATTTATAAAAGTAAAGAGGAATTAAACAGACATGTGAAAGCTACTTCTGAATGACAATGGAGGTGCATTCATCTACAGCACACAAATTCCTATCTACTAAACCAGGAACAACTGGCAAGCACAACATCCTTGAAAACAGAGTTGTGACCCTTACAATGCACAGTACATCTCACTCTTTCTCTTGTAGTAACGGTGGTATTTGTGGCTATACACAGCTATTCCATGTTTCACTTATACACAAACAAAAGAAATTTCTCTAATTAACAGATAGACAGAAAGGTACGTTCTTTTCGTGCTGCATACTCATGGGACTATTTTCAGTATAACTCTTACAGGACAAGCAAACACATACATACATATATACATACATACTGGAAGCAAGACAATACTTGGCCAGAAAACAATCTAATCTTAGAAATGTTATATATATACTGTGGCAGTCAGTCATAAAGAAATACAGTCAATGAAGTGACGACAACAAATTTGTGCTACGTCTACCTATGTGTTGCCTATTGAAAAGAGTCGTTGTTAGACTAGAGTGCAAGTAATAGTGACAATGAAAATATAATTTGCTACATTTAACGACACATTACAAAAAACTATTTGGAAAAGATTATTAAGTGATAATAATATGTGAACCTTTAAGAGAGGCTTAACTAGGAAAAAGAAGTCCGACACAGAACTAAACAAGTTTCTGATATGCTTGAGTACACAGACCTACAGAAGAGCACTAAAGAAAAGGATTACATTTGAGGAAATTTCCTTTTTTCAAAAGAACAAAATGAAAAAAAAAAGACATGTGTGTGTGTGTGTGTGTGTGTGTGTGTGTGTGTGTGTGTGTGTGTGTGTGTGTGTGTGCGTGTGTGTGTGCATGTGTGTGTGCAGTGGATAAAGTCAGTGTATATGTAAAAAGTGAAAATATATCGACTGCTCAGTGTGAGAATACACCATACATCCCTTTTCAATATGGCATATGGCGGAGTTCCTACACTAAGCAATTGATGTTTAAAACATAAGAATTAAACCAACTTGTCCTCAATGGTATCACCTATCCCACCCCTCTCCCACCAAAAAAACCCCCCCAAACACATATATAAAAACACACATAGGCACATTTACACTCACATCAAGATATCAAGAAGAACACTGACTAATAAGCAAGGACATTTTGATTTTTAGTAACCTTAAAGGCTCTTTCCTTAAAACGTAAGAACGAGAGTTTCCAAAAACATTCCTTTGGACATAGCAGGGAATTTTTCTAAGAAGTGATATAATGACAAATTAGCTCTTTTGAACATTTCTGCTACAACATAGGTCCCTCTATGGGCTACAAGATGGAGTAATTTTCAGTTTAACAAACGAAAAGCTCTGGATCACAAACACGGATTCAAATACCTGTAGAAATAAAAATTTTGAATGAAAAAATCCACACACTATTTTCCTTCATTCCAACTGCACAGAAAGACGCTCTTGACAAGATTAAGCATACAGATATTGCACTTGGTGACTTGAAATCTTCTGTAAGTTTCCTGTAACAGTGAGCCTTTATGATATCATTGGCTTGTGTCATATAAAGTACTAAAAGTATAAAAAGGAGCAATCTCAAAGACATAAAATTATCCACCTTAATCTTTGTAAAAAAATGACAATGACATGTCCTGTAAAGTGACTTTTCAACAAGCATCTTAGTGTGATTGGTGGTTCAAAAGAAACGACAGCCACAATCAGATATATAGAAAAAAAGTGTATCCACAACTGAAGGAGAGTATAAAATATCCAACACAGTTTGTCTTAAAATTTAATTGGCTTGTTCTGCAGTTTTGATTTTAAGAAAGCCAAGTGACTATTTCTCCGAACGCTCGGGAAAATAAACTTGATCTCTATTTCTCCCAACAGTTCTGTTCAGAGATTGTTTTGTTATTTGCGAAATTTAGGCGTCATCTTTCATCCTGCCATTCTGCGAGGACTGGGAAGAAGCATTTTTTGTATCAAATTCAATTTCTAGAGCAAGATCTAGAGGTTTTTAAATGTCTGAATATTCAGATACTTCAGTTGTGGTAGGGGCAACGTTCCCGGACTATACTTCATTTGAAAATGCCTTCAAAACGTACTATGAGAAAGCAGGACTGCTCGACCTTGGCAGTAACCTATTTTGCATTTAGTCATCCCTAAAGCAAACACTAAAATCCTTCAAGTAAACAAACAAAAATCCCTCACCCCCCACGCCTCGTTCACACACACACACATACACACATACACACACACACACACACACACACCCCTCTCGAGAACGGAAACCGTTAGGAGAAATAGAGCTCAAGCTTATTTTCGCGAGCGTTCGGAGAAATAGAGCCGGCCTTTCGAAAGACATAAAAATGACACATTAAAATCCACAAAAATGCATGAGAACTGGACGAGATATGAGAAAAATCCTGTTGTGTGGAACTCAACTGATGAGACTAAGGCCACAAAAGTCACACTGACATGGAGTTGTACTGATATCATTGACACTAGGGAAAGCATAACTACTCTTGTACCAGAACACTCCCACACAAGTATCTAAAAAAACTAAACATGTATCACAGGTAAAGCTGACAAAAAGAGAATATAGGAAAACATCAAAAATCCCATTCAGGTGTGCCAGGAATAATACTGTCTTGCCTTATTTTGATAAGCATGAGGAACTTCAAAGAACACAGCTAAATAAAAAAAAAAGTATCTAAACACAACTGAACAAATACAGGCATACACATACAAATATTTAGAAATATGACACGAGAGCAAAACATCAGAAACAACAATCAAAGCATGCAAGTTACCCAGTCTTGTTTTTCCTGCTTTTCTTCAGCATGAGAGTTCTAAATAGCACAAGTCATAAGAAATTATATATAAGAAACAAAGCATAAATTCATCGGTACACAACATTGTGTGGTTACTTACTCCACACTCAAAACATTTCCTTTCACTACTTTACAAAAAAGCAAATAAAATTCTCTACTGGGTGAACAAAAAAATGTCTCCACTTCACTTTCCTAAAAATAAACATAATATGTTAACAAAATAAGAAGGAGCAAAAAAACAAAAAAAACCCAATAAGGTTGTCAAACTACTTTAACTCAATCAACAGTCATCACAACCGTCAGCCTACAAAAAACAAAAAGAGATTAGTGTAAATGCTAAAGAGCAAAATGAAATTGTGTGATAAAAGGCTACTTTAAAAAAAATAAATATATCAGACTTACTTTTCTTTGATAGCATTTGTTGACACTTGCATGCGGTCTCGCACTGCCATGAAAAACACTTCCTCTCTTGTGGACAAGAAGTAGTCAAGCATGGATTTCTGAGGAGAAAATGATAGGTGTGAACCAAATTGCAAGAAGCACAGTGAACTGTTACAAAAATTTGTTTCAACGCTAACTTCTTTTTCCTTTCATTCTCAGACATATTTTGTTTTCTTTTGAAGGTCAGTCAGAACGACTGGTACATTGATCTATATACTACTCAAAACAAGTTAGGGACCACTACAGTTTTCACTATAGTATGTTTGAGACTGTGACAAACAAATATTTAGAAGTTAGGTGAGTTAGTTGTTCCCATTGTAAGGAAAGGTCATCGATGTTTACAATGATGAACAGATTTGACAAATGTCGTTTAATTTACGCTGCCTAGACAGGGTGAAAGGGTGATAATTATCTGTAAAATTGGACCTGTTTTTGACAATCAATCACGTGATTTTCAGTTAGTGGTATGGATAAAAAACCAACTCAGGGGAATTCACACTTCCTACACAAATGTCATAGAGAGTTTGACGGTGCTAGAGGTATTTGTTGTGGGAACATTAAGCGATTTTTAGCTATGCCTCCAAGAAGACGTCTGAGCAACATCGACAGGGGACGAGCCCTAGCCTGGTTCCACGAAGGGATTGCTGCCCATGAAGTGGCAAGACGGCTTGCTGTGAGTCACTCAGAGATCATCAGACTGAGAGACCGGGTTTCTGCAACTGGAACTGCTGTTGAGCAAAGGCAGTCCGGACGGCCACGTTGCACCACATGACGAGAGGACCGGGCTATCGCCAGAACAGCTCTGGCAACTCAAACCTGCCCTACCTGTCACATCAGACAGCAGGAGGTACCCCCAGGCAACGTTGGAATCAGCGACCAGACCATAAGAAACCGGCAGCATGAGATTGTTCTACGCTCCAGACGACCAGCAGTCTGGGTTCCACCGACACAGGCCCACCGGATTGCCCGCAGAACCTGGTTCGCCCAGCACCTGAGGTGGACACGCCTGCAGTGGTCTACTGTGCTCGTCACGGATGAGTCCAGGTTCACATTGTCCTTCAACGATGGCAGGATCAGAGTTTGAAGACGTCCTGGAGAGCACTTCCACGACAACTGTGTACAGGAGCATGACCGGAATGGAGGAGGCTCCGTTATGGTGTGGGGTGGGATTGGACTCAACCACCGGACCATCAGCCACCCCGAAACAATGTTGATGAACTCTTTAACATTTTGGACCAAGAATGGCAAGCCATTCCACAACTGACATTGCGAACACTTATTTAGTCCATGAGACAAAGATGCAATAAATGTTTTCTTGCAAATGATGGCCACATGCGATTTTGAGCCCTAATTGTTTATGACGGCTCTGATGTGAATTAAAAAAAACATGGGTCACCTCCTTCAACATCTGAAATTACCTATTTTCCATTAAAAATGTGCAAAATGTCGTTTGCAAAAGGTGATAGGATGAATAAAGACAAAGACCCCTTTCAAATAATTTTGAATCGTGTCATGTTTTTCAGTTTTATGTACTATGTGTGGCTTTAAGTGGTCCTTAACTTTTTTTGAGTAGTATATTAGCACCTCAAAATAAGTATAAACCCCAAAATTTGATTTGGCAAAATGTTTGTACTTTCAGACTTCAAAATGTAAGAGAAATCTGAAATAAGCATCTAATTATGAGATAAAATTAAGAATACAAGTATTTCCACTGGCTGTACCCTTAAAAAAGCCAACACTCAAGAGGAAAATAACAGTAAACTTTCTAATGTGTGAAAAGAAAACTTTAATTAAGTTTCATTTTTGTTAGGTATAGATCAGTAACTTTCACGAAAAAGAAACCCAAACCAACATATAAATAGAAATATTTAGTTTACAAGATTGATCAGTTTTTGAATCATAGAGAACACAAAGACAGGAAACAGTTGTTTTTCATAACTCAGAGACCTCAGAATGTGTTGATTTATTTAGTTGTGAAAGAGCATCAATCAGACTGCTTTTTTATTCGCGTGGAATGTATGGAGCAGGTGCACCACAGACTTTTTCACTCTTCTCGGTTCTTCATTTTTTGCGTGAACACAAATTTTCATTTTCAAAACTAAAGCCTACTGAAGCCACACAATGATGGAAATAATAATGATTCCATACAGTAAGCTAAATACAAAAAGACAGTCATTCAGTGTAAATAACTAGTAAACAAAATAGCCTGAAAAGTTTTTAAAAAAACATTCAAACATCTGTTTCCAAATAACATGATCTGCCCACATTTAAAAGGTGCTGAGAGGCAGCAACACAGTGATATAATCTCTACTTTTGTCAGAAAATGCTCTCAATACTTTCTGGATGGCTACAATTCTGAATAACCGTCTTCAGAAACTCTAAGCACTTTGAGCATTTTGTCTCCAGACTTTGACACAAATACGGAGATGAAGAACATATTGTAGAGAAATAGGATGAACCATTAATACTTATACCCACCTGCACATCTCTGTTTGCATTGAACAGCATGATGCAAATGAAGGCAAGCACTTCCCTTGCAATGTCATCACTGCGACGTGCCAAGTGTGGCAGGACTTTGATAATCAGGTCATTGATGTTGATGGCATTTTGAATGTCTCTCACACGATTGATTTGTCTGGGAAAAATAAGAAGTAGAGTTTAAAAACAAAACGATATGAAAATAATTACTTATAACTTTTATAGACCAAAGATGAGACTTAAAAGCAAAAGCTCAGTCACCATTTGATAACAGCCCTCAAGGTATCTGTAACAACTAAGATTTTGTCATTCAAAGAAGACATTGAACAGATAGGATTGAATCTGACCGCTTTAAATTGTCTTCCTTTATAGCTGATTAATGAACATAAAATGCTTTTTTAAAAAGCTGGAATTATAAACATCAATTTCAAATAGTACCATTCCTTTAGTTACTTTATTCTTTCAACTTGTGACAAGTACATATGTTCAAATCACCCTTGACAGATTATGGCTGAAAAATGTAAATACAAAGCTTTTTCTGGCTCCTACCTTTAAGCAAAAGAAAAAGCTGAAAGTGAAACAACACATCAACTAAGATTTTTTAAAAACTGCAATGTTTACTTCTTGATTTTTGACTCTGATGTTCTCATGGCCCAGTCTGATGCAAGTCTTCTCTCTTCATTGTGTACCAAGGCCCTGAGGATCTGCAGGCAGCGCACGTCAAGTTGCTCATTGGTGGGTTGGCTGGGCCTTGGTTTCTTGCACTGAACCGCAGAGATGCTGATAAAGTACACCAAAAAAATAATTTGTAAGTTTGAAAAACTTGAGACTTGAAAAGCTTCATTGATTTACCAAAGTAGCAAAACAATTATCGATTTTTATACACAGTTGCACTGCGACGTTTAGGGCCCACAGTCGGGGATTACATTGGTAGGACCTGAACAAAGTCCACTTTTTACAAGGTGACACTTATTTCAAAATAGAACCAAGGACAAAACGGAAGAATTGCTGCAAAATCACAATAAAATCTGAAAAGTTTCTTTACGTTATCATGAATAAACACAGTCATAAACACTCACCTACAGTTTGCACACTCAATGAAAAAAACTATAAATAAAATTAAAGTACAAAATTTAAAATATACAAAGAATGCACACGTACGCTAACTGCTCCACTAAGATGCTAGCTGGTGCATATCTCTTTGTAGCTTTCTTTTCATGGGGATCAATAAAACAGCGGGCTAGCTTTTGAAACTCCTCTCCCAAGGGTAGTTCCTCGTTGCTGCCTATTGAGATGTATTCTGAAAAGGACAGGCCAAAAAAAAAGAGAAGAAATATACAGTCAAACCAACTCTAACGGTCATCTGTGGCTATCAGGGACAGCCTTGCTCAAAATCAGGGACATTGACTAATTATCAGGGACACCTTGTATTTGTCAAGAAAAACTTGCTGCCTTTTCCGTTTCTTTGCTTTACTTGGTCCAGAGTCTGACTTAGAACTCATCGCTGAACGTTTTGACGCCATCTTTTCAAATGAAGAAGCCGAGCACCGCGCACGCATATCAGCTGACTTTGTCGAAACTGCACACCTGCCAACTCTCCCGAATTTTTCGGGAATCTCCCGAAATTTCGTCATTTTCCCGAGCAACAGAAGGCTAATTTTTCTGTTTTAGAAGTATGCTTGTCAAGTTTTTATTTTCCGGGATCGTCGGTCAAAATCCGTATTTCCGGGACAGCAGCGATTTTTCAAGAAAATCCGTACAAAATACGGATGGTCCGGGACAGTGGGCAGCTATGATAAGACAATCCCCTTCCCATTTCCTCCCTTGCATATTTTTTTATTAACACAATAAAGACACTGTTTAAGTCCTCCACCTGTCTAATACGGCCACTTTTCTCCTTGACAATGGCTGGCCATCCTAGACAGTTTGAACTGTAATTATGAGACTCCTTATATGAAGAGAAGCTAACCACAGCAGACATAAGATAACTATAATAATTGAGTTGGGACTCTTTTTTGAGTAAAGGACAGCTCTTATGATTTGCCATTCACCAGCTGACGCCTTAAAAATATTTTGTTTACAATTTACTTGCATTATAGATGTGTCTGTGCCTGACTGTACATAAGATTTTTAGTTACTAGAGCAGACATACCACCATGATTCTGGGGCCGCCCTCGTACATGCACAACACAACTAGACTACTTCATGAAGAATAAGTAACTTCTAAGCTCCTCCGTTAGCGATGTTTTCTCACGAAAAGCATAAAATGAAAATCTTTTACCTTAAATTAACTAACTCTCCACTTGAAAGACCAAGAGATCATCCTTCAAAACTATCTGGTAGAATCTATTTATTCTGTGTCTATCAGAGGACCACATGACAATGACAAATTTTTTCAGGATTATAAAACCAAAGGATAATTCAGCGGGTAATAAAGTACACATTTACCTCTCTTTGACTTTATCTTCAGCTGAGCCACAACTGTGTTGTGACCACTGTGCACTGCATGGCAGTTGTTGGTGAAGCATCGCAGCTTTGTATTAAGCTCAATTTCTGAAGAATAATACTCCATGTTGCCCTGGATGAAAGACAAAAGGAATATCAAAGTAAGGATAGACAGGAAATGCTTTTCATTGGTCCCACTTACAAAACACAAGAAAAATCCCTGAAAAGAATCCAAAGCAAATTAATTGAGCAAATTACATGAAACACACAAAGGTAAGAATGTGATTGAGGCAACTGTGAAAACCTGAATTTAATTACAGAAAATGCAAGTATGATAAAAGATATCTAACTATATGATTAAACAGTTTCTTAAACACAAACAATAAAACATCTGTCAAGTCATGGATGGATGGATGGATGGATGGATGGATGGATGGATGGATGGATGGATGGATGGATGGACGGATGGACAGATGAAATGGTGAAACTTTCTGTAAAAATTTAAAAAATGATCAAGCCAATCACGTTAGTCTTTTCCTGTTAAAAGATAAATTTCTATAAAATAATGAACCACAGTCTAAATTTACTAAAGTAATATCTAAAACAAAGACGTCCAACAGTATTAAGATCACAATAACTGTCTCTCTCCTGTTCATAATATATAAGACAAAACTCTAAGTATTTAGTGGTGACAGAGTCAAATTTGAGACGATAAAGATGGTACTCACCCTTCTCACGGCTGTTGTGCTGTCTTGAAACTTCATGTCAGAGGTGAGCTTCTCAAGAACTCCAACCAGCATCTGGAGCAAAGACGAGAGAAAAATTAAATCATTCAACTATTTTTTTTTAGAAACCACAGAAAGCTCCCAAAATTAGTTTTGTGTCACAATATCACCCCTGTATATAAAAACAGAACTCCTGAGAAACTATGGCCAAAAGGGAAATATTAGAAGTGTCTGAACTCATGAAAATAAGAATCTTTACACTTTGACATTTTTCATAATAAAAGAAGAACCATGTAAAAGTAAAGCAAATATGAAGACATGAAAGTCAATCTTTTCTTTCCATTAAAAATATAATCATGGAAGTACTAAAAAACAAATATACAGTAAAAAATAAAAGCAGTTAAAAGCAATATATAATAATACTACTGTTTACATTTTACAAGTCTGTTTAATTTTTCAATCAATTCTCTTAGAAGCTGTAAAACAAATTGACTGCTTAGTGTAAGACTACGTCATGCATCAATTTTCAAAATGGCATTAGTAATTTTATACTAAGCTGTTGAAATAAGGAAAGAAGAAAAGTTGACTTACAGACTTGGACGACGAAGACAAAGAAAGCACAGTTGTCAGACAAGTCACAGCACTCTTCAGGTGAAAAGGTAATGTCAATTGTGGGCCCAGCCGGTCAAATAATGTCTGTGGAAATAAGATTTTTGCATGTCTCTTTTCTATAGACTTGTGATGGACGCAGCTTTAAAAAAATCTTGAGCATAAATAGCATATATATTTATATATATATATATGTATATATATAGTGCTCTAAACAAATCTTTATCCCCTCCACAAATCATTTGTAAAAAAAAAAAAAAAAGGTTCATTTTCTATTCAAGGGATAAAAAAGGTATGATCCCATCCCCAAAGAATAAGCTAGTGGAGTAAAGAATTTTTAAAAACAACCCCCCCCCCCCCCCCCCAGTAATGGAGACATTGTGTAATAGAGATAAATGGACATTTAATTATTCTAAAAAGTGTTTTTTTAATCACAACTTAGTAAAAGTGGAACACAAAAAAATAATTTATAGTTTTGGGCCGACTCACAATGAGGGCATTGGCCAAACTCTCTGTTGCCGAGATCTCATCAGGATAGATGTCTGTCTCTGGAGCATAGAACACTGTGTAGAACACCTGGAGATATTGCACAGACACAAAGAAGAAATTAGATAATAAAAATACTTGTAATAATTGCATTAAATATAGTGCAAATTCAGGATCTACAGCATATTTGACATGCTTTTTAAGAACTATTATTACCCAAGCAGACCCTGCAACACTCAGAAACATATAATGAAAAAATTTAATCTGAAGCATAATATAGAAACCATATCTACTATTCAAATACATTTCATTACAACGGAATCATGCTCAAGTAGGAAAGAAATATTTGAAGCACTTTGATCAGTAGATGACATGGCACATGGTCTTGAGTGCTTTTCTTCTTCTAAACATCAAAAGAGGAGGAAAAAATAGAAGAAAAAAAAACATGCTATCTTTTATACACCGCATGGTGGATGTAAGAAAAATAAATGCTCTAACTATCCACAAAGTAATAATAATTATAATTATTTTAGAATAATTACATTTATATAGCGCATATTCATGCTCTACAGCATACTTTATGAGCTTTACAACTATTATTCCCTCAGCAGACCCTAGAACATTCTCAGCTGTCTGGGGAGCATATGGTGGAAGCAGCCAATTAAGCGCTTAAGCACTAATAAAACAAACTGACAACATGTGAGTAAATTCGGTGTAAAATGCCTTTCCTAAAGACACAATGTCGGGCCCCCGGTCAGGGTTCAAACCCATAAGCTTTTGGTGGTGAGCACAACAGCCAAACCACTAAATCACCAATGCCACAGTCAGGTGAGAGACTTCTTTTTCTTACCACACAAAAACAAAGCAGGAAAAAAAGAGTGCCTCGCTTACATGTATGAAGGACAAGACTCCGTCAAGGATGAAGAAAAGCTTGTTGTGCATTACAGCCTTGGTGTCATGGTTCTCTGCCACTTGACTTTGGAAACAAACGCACACCATACACATGATAAAACATGATGGAAGTTAAAGTGTTTCTTTACTTAATATAGGAATATTTATTTTTAAAAAAATTATATTTCTTACTTGCAGTTTATTAATTTCTAAAAGTGCACACATTGAAGATATTATTCATACAAATAAAAAGTACTTTCTAGCAAAATGGCTTTCCTTCTATTTCAGAATTGTACATTTTTATAAATCATGAGACTGGAAAATGAAAAGTAGTTCAACTGGTTAACAATAGCACAATAGCAAGACGACGTGGAACGTTATTAATAAATAACGTTCCGCCAAAAATATAGTGCACATCGGGTAACAAAAATGAACATGTTTTTCCATTAAATGATATATTCATTTAAAAAACAAAAGGCAGGCTATGTTCTTTATCTGAAATAAGTGAAATACCTGCAGAAGAATAAGATAACCAGAGATAGTAAAGAAATGATTATAATGATAAGGCTGTTTATCATTCACTGCACAAAGGCAGCACAGCACAGCTCTCAGCCAAATACACAATGTTTAGGCCTACTATAACCATTCCCCCCAAAAAACAAAAAAAACACACAAAAAAACCCAACAACAACAAAAAACAAAAACAAACTACAAACAAACAAAAAACAAAACAAACTGGAGTGCATTATTAAAAGGATATAAGAATCAAAAGTACAATTAAAAAAGAAACAAGAATAAAGAAAGATGTAATTTCTAACCTGGCTTGTGGTGGTGACTTGAGCAACAGTGATATTTTGTCAGAATACTGGCCGAGGAACTCAGTGAGGAGGTACATATCACTTGTCACCAGGCTAATGAAATCCCACAAGGACCTAAAACATTTTTTTTAAAAACCCAATTTAAACACTTTCATCTGCAAATGCCTTTTATTAGACCTATATGTTGTTATTGTTTTTTGTCAGTTGAAGTACTTTCAATATAATTTCTTTAAAAAATGTGAAAAACTTCTAACAGTTATCTTCATATTTTTAAGAACCAGTAGCATGATTAGACCTTTCAGTGGAGTGATTTGTAGATGAAACCAATTCAGGGTACATACTATGTCAATGGGGTTTAGCATTGTCCAGAAAATGATTCTTGAGAAAATAGATAGATGTTACCATTAATACAGTGGTGTCAGATTTATATAAAATTATTTTTATATGAGAACAGAGTAAGTTTATAGGAAAAAAATATTAATGCAGAATACAGATTGGTGCATTTTTTAGCCTTCTCACTAAGAAACATTACATTCATTTTTCTCATCAAGATTTGCCAACCATGTTAAATTCTATGAAAAAGCATATCAACTTTTTTTTCTGACACTTTTGCATTTCACACCTGATAACCAAAGCCTCATTTTAAAAATCAAAGTAAAAATTTTCTCGTAAAAATACATCTGCATAAAACAAAACCAAAAAAAGGGAAAACTGACTTGTCATGCTGCAGGTCTGAGGCACCACTTTCTAGCAGACTGTTTGAAGCCTTCATGTAGACCCACAAGAGGAACTTGATGAAAGGTCTTTTCAGATTGTTGTCAATGTTTTGGTTTGTCAAGACACACAAGATATCCTCAGCAGGCAGAATTGTCTGACACAGAGATTCTATGAACTTGTTTTCACCCTGTTGAGAAAAATTAGCTTAAGATAGGAATAAAGATTTTAATGAAAAGATAGTGCATAACTGTTTTCTGTTTGAGAGTTTTACAACAAAAGTCACTTTCATGGTATCAAATAAAATTAAAGAACAAAATACACATACTATATATAAGAGCAATTACCTTTTAACCTTACATCTTCTCTTATAATGGGACAGAATTTAAGAATTTCACCAACTGGAAAACAAAGTGAAGCGGGCAGTAATCTGTTCTCAATAACATACTAGACTAATAGAACATATTCATTTCTTAATTTAATTTAAACTTCCATGCAAAAAGAAAGAAATCTGATTTCTTCAGATGCAAAGACAATAAAAATAATGTTGTAGAGGCAAGAAAGATAAAGACATGTAACTGATACATTGCAAAACAAACATACCTCAGCACATGTGGCCAGTAAATCTACAAGGTTTATGAAGTAGTTGAGATGGCCACGTTCTGTCTGGTTCAAAAGAATCTTGTCCCTGAAAAACATTAGCAAATATGCTTTACCCAGACTGATAGACTTTATTGAAAAAAATCAAATAGATAGGCTTAATGCCACTTCAACACAGTTAGAAATAAACTAGGCCTGCACATAGCTGAGAAGTGTGAATGATGCTCAGAACATTTGTTTCCTTCGTGGAACATCTCATCTCCGCTGGATATCCTAGCTTTTGTAGTTCTACATGTTCAGTTTTTGAAATAACTCAAATCGCTTTATTGGGAGATTCTGGTTCATTAAAAACAAAGTGGGATACAAAGACAAAAAAAGAAAAGAAATAAAATCATTTGTGAAACATAGCAAGGACCTTCTCATGAATCTTCAATTTTAATTTTAATACTAATTATAGTGTGGCTTAATTTGTCTAAAGTTTTGAAGTTTTTAAAAATTAAACCTCAAATTTTTTTAAGGAACTAACAAAAGTCTGCTAAGGATAGTCATTACAAAATATTTTTTTGGTAAAAAAATTCAATAACCTTGTCTTTTTATTTACATTAGAATTAAAAGACAGCATTGCAGGATGTCAAATCTAACCAACTCAAATCCTTTACCTTCAAACTCTTATCACAAAAGAAAAATTTTTTGTTGGGAAAAACTTCCTCAAAATATTTCAAACTGAAGCATCCTCACCTTCTAGCTTACTATACAATCTCCGGCACTAACCCATAAGAAGAGCGTGCTCATCAGACTAGAAGTATTCCGACTATTCATTCAAGTAAATGAATTTGTCCGTCCAACACAAAGGACATAATGGCAAGCCAGAGCACATATTTACCTCTGAGCTCGAGGCTGATCCAGAACATAAGCAGATTTCTTGAACGTCTGCATAATGTACTTCATCACCAGAGCTTGATTACGTTTGATGGTCAGGTCCAGGCTCTCAACTTTGACCAGCGACTTGAGCAGTACCAAAAACTCGGGAGCGGTGTGTTGACATTCCGCTGACAACATGACGATCCTCTGGATTTGCCGAGGCTGAACTTTGAGGCAGATGCTCTGATTGTCTCGGAACACCTGAAGCAAGTAAATGGGACAGTTTGTACGCAAAGCCATTGCTCCCACTCAATTCAGGGACTTTGATTTATCACATTTACAAAATGGACTGCACAGTTCACTGCACCAGTCTGTTCTGATTTGGAGAATATAGTACGGACCAATGAACATCCACCACTTTTGGCCAAATTTTAGTCTTTGCAAAACACTCTACAGCTACAGCAAAGCATTCTTTTAAAATCAGTCGACGAAGGCTAGAATGGTAAAGGGCAAAGTTATGCAAAAGTTGAGATTTTTAAAATATCCAGCATCATAAATTCAACAGGCATGCAAAATGAACTCATAATTTTCATTCTAAGTATCAGAAACACTTTGTATTTTAAAAAAAAAATTATTATTACAGTAGAGGGTTTTACGGCGCTCGCAACTGCATAAGGTCATATGAGCACCAAGGGGTGGGTGTCAACAGAGAAGTCTCTACAGGGAATCAGACTTACTCTGTTCACCTCTCTAGCTTCAACAGCACAAGGTCTGCTTCGACTATCAAGGCACCCCGGAAATAGCAGGTCACAAGAGTGGGACAAACATACAAAAGAAGTAGAGGACTTTGTTATCTGGGAAACAAAACCCAAGGAACAGTTCTAATCAATACTGCAATAAAACAATACAGATTAAGTTGCCAAGAAATCAGTATAACAGATACATGATCATCCTCGACGTATTAAAATTAAGAATGTATTTTAGTACAAAATTGCAGAGGCTAACTACAAGAATCAATATGAAAAGAAAAGAGCTATTTCAAGTTTGTGATCAATCAACTAAATTTATACTTAAAACATTATTTATTCAAATCAGAAAAAGGGAATTGTAATGGAAAAAATACACCTTAAGAAAAACCCAAAGAATAAAAAAGGTAAAGTATTACCTCTTTCAGGGCCATGGCAAGGTCAGCCCGAACAATGGAGACATCTAAAAGCCTGTCCAGACTGTTGAAGATTTGCTCCTGAACTATGTGGTTTTCTCTGATGAGCAGTCGCAACAGATTGAGAGTTTTCTGGAAAACTGTCTCCATGCCTTTGTACTGTTCCTGAAAAAGGAAAAAAAAATCTTGCAGTACTGAAGTTAATTACAACAATGTGCACTGCAGTCACACAAAAAAGAACTCATTACTGAAACACTTGTCTGTGTCAGTTATTTTTTATAATTGAAACTGCATCCTGTTCATATGTGAAGAACCTTATGACTTAAAAATGATTAAGCAAACAGCAATTTTTCTCTTTCAGCTCATACACTGAATTTATATAATTTATTTATTAGAGGATAATCCTGATACGGAGCATGCCTATTTCAGAGAATCAGTGTATAAATAAACTTGTTACCTTCTTCCCTGTGTATATAAACACTTCCCTGTGTGTATGTAAACAGCTGCACAGAAGTTTATCTGACCTTTGCATGATATGAAAATTATAATCATAATATGAACAAGAAAATGCAAATGTATATCCAATCAAAAACAAAAAGGGGTTGAGAAATATTTATTTACCACCAGTAACCTTGAGTCAATTTCTTGAGACAAAATTTCCAGGACGATGTTCAATACACCTGGAAAGAAATGTGAATAAACAAGGTCAGCAGACAAGGTTCTTGGCAGTCAAGTTTTGTACAATACCATATACAATAAAGCTCTTTTCTTTTTAAAGTTTGACGGGCATGACCATTAAACTTGTTTTTTTCTTATTTTTTTCAAGATTATTGTTTAGCAACTTTTCTCAGAAATCCAAAAAAGCTGTCTGGACCAAAGCAAAGCCATACTGGAAAGATTCAAAATGAGTTGTTCAAAGTGTGGTTTTTCATCCGATTAAAAAAAATGGTAAAAGAAATTAACACCTTCAAACTCCAAGATTCATCAGGTTGATGACTGAAGCCTCCAGGAAATTTTATGGCAAAGAAAAAAAATGGACATAACTTTTATACTATACCTTTTAGTTCCATCTCTTCTAAGAAAAGCATGTTTCAAACAAAACATGAGACTCCTCAAACAGAACTAGTAAAAGTTAATCATTTACATTCTGAAAATCAAATTGTAGTCTTCCTCCTACCACATTTTTTTGTTGTCCTGTAAATATCTTGTATACAGAAAATTTTATAACTCAAGGAAGGAAACGCACCATGACTGATCATAATGTTTTGATTCATTGGGTGTGGCTCATCAGGGGTCTTTGGCAGATGGCAAAACCTGCAACAGAATAAAGGCTCATTGAGCTACACCATACAGAGGTCCCATCATGGGTCGATACAGCTACAAACAGAAAGGTTGTTTTTTACAATCCTTTTGTTTGTTAAACTTTAACACTCTACTTAACATAATGTACGAGCTCATTTTGACGATCGACCAATTAATCTCACATTTAGACATCAAGAAGAGAGGCAGAATATTCCAGGTTGGAGGACGAAACAGCCTCATTTCTATTTGTATTTCAATGATTGTCATACAGTACAAGTAGGCTTATCAATGGTTTGCCGGGTCATTTATGCCTAAATCTGCATTTTGTTGAACAGCATTGGGTACAGCAACTTCAATTGAAGTATTTAAAAAACTGAATGAAAAATGAAACTCTACAGATCTTTCAATTTCTTTGCAATACAAATTTCTTGTTGCTGTCATTGTAAACCCATTAGCTACTAGCTGTGCTCATGGCCTATTAAAGAAAATGATTCAAGAGTACTTTTATCATGTAGCAGAATAATTAATACACAGCAGTACTTTGTTATCAGAATATTCCAAACGTTCTCCAGTGATGCAGTTTAATCCAGCATTTACTGTAACCAGCTGCCCACTCAAAGACTTTGAAATTTAACAAATGTAATAGGTCAACCCCTTTTTTGTCCACCAGAACAAACCCTCACTCACTCGCACAGCTCATCCAGCACTTCAGTCATGAGAGCCACCTGCTGGTCATTCAGTTTTGATCGGGCCAAACGTCGCAGGGTGGGCAAACTTCTCTGAACTTCTCTGTGTACACGAGCTGAGTCATGGGTCATCAACACCTTTGCCACAGATGAGAAGAGAGTATTTTCTATATTTCAGCCTCACTATATCACGTACTTAGAATTTTTTAAATGTATATGTGTCACAACACAATTGAATTAGATGCTCGTCAATTTTGGGGCATAGAGTGTCATTATTATCATCTAAAAGCTCCTTCATTTTTCTTTCATTCGGCAGAAAAAATACCCATCTATCTTAAATAGAAGTCAAGATATTTATTTGCTATTGAAGGAGAAGGGGGTCGCCTGTCATCAGAGGTAAAATTAGTGAGAAAAAGGCCACCAAAGTTTCACAACTTCTAACGCTTGAGTGCCCTTGAAAACTGCAAATTTGCATTTTTGTGCCTTTGGGCAACATTTTTCAGCAAAATTCACCAAAAAAAATGTGTTCTTAAACATAGAAGATATCGAGCCAAAGAAAGAAAATTTGATAAAAACTGCCCAATGGTCAGAAAAATGCCGGTTTCCTGGATTACATTATTTTGACGACTGCCTGATCTCACCATGCTGCCTCACATTATGTTCTGCTGCATGACAGAGACAATACAAAAAATTGAACACATTTTGACAGTGTAAGTCTTCACCATTCATCGCTTTTCAAAATGGCATGTTTATTGTGGAGTCTTACACTAAGCAGTCGACTTGAGAAAGAAAGTTCAAGGGAAAGAACTACATAAATTGCTGAGAAAGGACAGGTCTGGCATATCTAAATTTAAATATCATGTAATCTCTTAACGCAACTATATGGTAGAACTTTCTAAAGTTGGCAATTTATAAAGAAGCAAAATAAGAAATAAAGCAGAGCTTGTGGTACTCACCTGTGCTTTCTTGGCCAAAGTGAAGACATCCATTTGTGAGGAATACAATTTGTTGAGCAAGTCTAAGGATTTCACCACCATCTCATCATACTTGTATTTGGACAGATCCTGCAAGAATACAGACAAGAACAGTTATGAAGTAGCACACAGTAATAAGACAAGTAAATACATAAAAGACAAAAGAAAACAAAATTAAGTGATAACAAAAAAACTATAAACTATAAGTCTTGTTGGGCATTTAAAAAAATATAGAAACAAGCAATAGTTTTGATATCTGGGATGAACTAAATCCAGTTATCAGTCTTTCTTAACACCACAGTCAACACACTGGCAAGCCACAAACATGGACAACTCTCTGGTGTGGAAAGTACTGTGTATGCAAATTTCTCTAATATAATAGACTTACAAGCAGTATTGCAGTGGTGCTATCGATGTCAAGGATGGCAGAGGAGTGAAACATGTCTCGAAGTTCTCGTAGAACATCCTTTTGTTTTTTCAAAGCTTTCCTGGAAGAAGAAAACAACATTACAAGAAATATAAGAAGAAAATAATTTAAGACAAAAAAAAAATTGCTTAAAAAGTCATTTCAAAGTACAAACAAAACCCTCATACTTAAAATGCAAAATTGCTTCATATGTCAAAAAGATATTCATTTTAAAGAAGCAATGAAAATAGAAACAATAACATTATTATGTCTTATATTACAAGCCTGATAGTACAAACTGTACAAAGCAAAAGAGAAAAGAAGATGCACACAAGTAACTTCTGTGGAATGAGTACATCTCTCACCCAGAAGAGCCAAAAAGAGAGTGAAAGTAATGACAGTTATTTTTGTGCTCTTTTTACAGCATTCCTTAGTGAAAAGTGTAGAGCATCCCAACATACTTAAAAACCATATGATGAACTAACTTTTTCTGCTCTGTTGAGTTATATGTCTCATACAAAAGAGGCTCAAGGATTGTCTGTGACTTTTTCTTGGCCGCTCCTTGCTCTGCCTGCTTGAACATTGTCACAAACACCTGGTGAAAGAGAAGAACAGACGATTTAACGGAAACCTTTAAAGATTAAAGGGAACAAAAGAGATGACTTTTGAATTTTAATCAAACAGAAGTTCCTTTAAGATTCTATGACGTACCTTGTGAGACAATTAACATAACAACAAACGATAAAGTGCTTACTCAACCAAGTCACAAGAGTCATTTGCATAAAGTGCACTCTCATTTGGGCAATAAGACTATCCACATTTAAATGTGCAGCCTGATTTAGAATAATTACAGCATTCACCACTCTTAGAAACTGAAAAAATCATAGGTTTCCCCATTGAATCCCTTACACTTTTACTCCTTTGTTTGTCTTCTGACCATAATGCTTCTCTGCCAAGACAATGACAGCCACTTTAGTCATCAAGGGGTACAAGAGAGACTACAACATTCTTTTACCACATAGCTAGATATATCACTGGCTGATGGTGATATATCACTGGCTGATGGCGGGGGATAAGAGAGGATGCTTTTTAAAGGGCATCTTTCACAGGATGGCAGGGTTGTCATTTGTTCAAACATCTTCAAAATTATGGCCATAATGCTGTGGACACTTTCAGCATTTCCTTGCACACTGTCAGTCACGATCTTGAGAGGCCAGAAAGTACTTTTAAAGAATATGAAAGTAGAGTTAGTTCAATGCATTAATGGGAGAAAAAGAGAAAGCATGAGACTGGTAAGATTTAAGGACACAAAGTGATTGCATCATTTATGACGACTTCAAACTTAGTATTATCAATGATCATTCACATAACAAGATGGTTCACTCCTCTCTTTGAGCCAATTAAAAAAGTGTCCTCAAAATTCTTTCTTTTTCTTCTCGATTGCATCACACTTGAAGTCTGGTATCAGTCATAAATTGGGCCGTCCTGCTCAGTTCATCTGTCGGCCCGTTTAGCTTCTCTTGCAGCGTCAGAGGGGTTGGCCACGTTTCCTGTCTCAGGGCCCTGTGTGTCTTGCAGTGCTGAAGGATGTGTTCTCCTCTGCAGGGCCACTATAGAAGTTGTTTGTTCCATCTTTTCTATAGGCGTTTATCTCATTGCTCCAGTGATTATTCAGAGAGCCTGGTTTTGCACTTTTTCCAGAGTGTATTTGTGAGTCTGTGCTGTCCCAGCTAGTTTTCTCATGATGTTAAGTTTTTTGTCCTCAAAATTCAGTGGCGCCCTCTTCGCAAATGCGCACCTTTTGCGAACAGAGTTACCCTACTTGTTTGAAAAAAATAAAAGTGAAACTAACAAGTTTTTGAATAAATAAGAATTCAAATTTAGGAAGAACACTTTTTCAAATTGGTTACGCTGACAAAAAATCTGGAAGATGCGACTGCTTTCTTCTTTTAATTTGACTTTAGAATGAGAGGGGAGGGGTCATTAAAATTTTTAAAAAACTAAAACTCCACACTGAACGAACCCGAACAGCTGATGAACAGCAGTTGATCAGCACACACAAAGAGATGCTATTCCTATCCTTCTTCTGGAGAAACGAAAGAGAGCTTCAAAACAGGCTGCAGCGCCATCTGAAGCAATGAGCGGACTTCCGGCGGACACTTTTTTGGCCGAGTGGACCATCTTGTTATGTACGATCTTTGGTTTTATCAAATACCCATTATGCTATTTTTTTTAAAAAGTAAAGGAAGCAAAAGTGTGCAGTGTAAAATGACCCATCTCACTATCACTGGCTGAGAGAATTTGGAAGGAAAAGGGGTACAGAATAGGTTAAAAGTAGTTTTCCAGTACCTCTCAAGTCCTACAGAGAAGGACCCTGTTCCTGATTCTACAGCACAGGGACAAATAAAGAAAATATCTGCTCCATGTTAATCTCTGCTGAGCAGATGCTATAGTACCTTAATCATACCCAAGCTCAGTGGGACAAAAAAATCAAGCAAAGTAGGCTACTAATCTAAAAAAAAAAAAATAGTATATTGCCAAATTCACAAGGAACTTCCAATCCCAAGATTGGCATCCTATTTATGAGTTCACAAAACCTACAACTAATTTCAACATCTAGTAACATTTGACCATACCTTGAGACGCAAATTTCTTTGAAAGGTTAGAAGAAGGTCTAAGGCCTGCATAGCTCTGTAATAAAATAGAATGGCATAAAAATATTAACAGCAGTTGTTATCAACTTCAATAATATTAGTAATATTCAAATAGATGAAAACAAATAATCCAAAAAATAAATAAAAATATGTTATTGACATTCTTTTAAAATGTATAACAGAGGGTAAAAAATAAAGTTGTGATTAGATTCTATAATAACTATTCATAATTCTAACACAGTCATTTATTCTAATTATCAATTGCTACTTCAGTCTCAGAAATTCAAGAATGTACATTAATAATATAATTCATAACACTAATCATTTGTTACTACTGGCAACTTGTACCATATAAGAATAGCACCAAAAAAAAAATACATACTGGAACTTAGCACTGACAATAGCTGCAGCCTCATCACTGACTTCAAACCTCCAAGACCTCTGATAGTTCTGTACAGCTTTCTGGCCTTCCTTGGTGTAGCCTGTTGATGCACAAGCGAGATTGTTTGAGGGAAAAGAAGCACATTGACAAGGTCCAGTCATTTGGTGTGGGGGCAAAAAGTAAGACAGACAGACAGAAACAACAGCAGAAGGAACAGAAGTAGGACTTATCAGTGATGCGCTCCAGCCATCCGCAAGCACTATTGTGACAATTGATAAGAATGTTCAGCAAAACATTGTCAACACACACACACATATATCCTCACACATGTAAGTGCCCCAGGAGGACAGACATTTAAAGTTTTACAATTGCAAATTCTAAGAGGCTTGAGGAATATAAGTGGGGCAAAATTAATTCTGAGGCATTTTGCGTCAAGATTCTTTTAAGATTTCCTTCTGCTACCCATTCAAACTGTTCTCCTTCCCTGAGGGGAAACAAATAAATTGCTTCTTCCCATCCTCCAGTTTAATGTGAGGCCGCCATTTATTCAGGTACTTTCCAAATTTAAAAAAAAATCCAACTTTGCAGAATTGACCAATGAAAGAACAGAAGTAATAGACAAAGTTGCACTGATGCAAAAATCTCCCAAAAAAGAGAGAAACGTTTTATTTCTAAAAGTACAGACTGAAATAGAAAATAAGAAGAAACTGTAACATTGTCGATGTCCAAACCTTTTCCTTTGTCTTTGGGGAAAGGGACATCATGTCGTCCATCTAGCAGACTGAGCAATGGTGGCAGCAGCTTGCGCACATCTTCCACATCCATGTAGTAGCCAAACTTGACAAGGTACTGCAGCAAGCACAACACCTAGACACAGCCATGAACAAAGTTGGGATGCATTCAGATTACTGGAACCATTCTTTTTCAACCTCATACCACTAGCAACAGTGTATAATTAGAATAATATAATCATAATAAATATGTATGAGCAAAGACATTATTCTTATCACACAACACAAAGACTGCAAATCACAAATGAAAAACATGCTGCTATGCATGTTCAAAACAAGCAACAAGAAATTCTAGATACTGATGAGATAACAGTTATATGGCAGTTATCCATATAAGTGCTATGGAATTCACACAGGTGGAGTAATTTCATGTGAGGAGATTTAGTGTAGTGCTATTCGTACTGCTTTAAGCTGCATAGACCAGCATAAGCTCCAAATTTATGGACCTCTACTTCGGCGTTGAAAGAAGTTTCTTTTTCCATCCAAAGAATTTGACTGGTTAATGGAATCTACATCTGTTGTGAATAAATTTGGAATTTCAGATAATAATTCCTACAAAAGCTACCGCTTCTGATCTTCATTCTAACCTCAATATAACAACAGTTAAGAAGTCAATATTTGACACTTTGAGCAGAAGTCCGCAGCACCTGAGGGAACCTCACCTGTTTAATGAGCAGGTTGCAGCCCAACATGCTGGAGATCATGATGCAGTTCTTCTCCAGGAACTCCGCGAGCCAGTCCCTCAGCACTGGGAAAATTGTCACCAGGTCTTTTACAACCTGCACAAACATGGAACCCATGCCAGATTACCTGCTTTTGTCGCAAAGCTTAGAGTTCATTTTTCTCTTCCCAACTCTTCTAGGTAGGTGTGAGTTATATAATACAATATTCCTAATAAGCAAACAAAATACACGGTCTATGGAACATATGTACTTGCACATAAACTTAAAATAAGTACAAAAACACCTATACTTTGATATCATTTTTATCGTTACAGCTTCTGAAAAAATAAAAAGCATTGTTACAGTGGAAACAGAAATGATAGAATAGTTACAAAATGAAGGGCTATGAAAATTCTATCCAAATGTATGAAGGAGAAAAAGACTGGGGGGAAAAGATTTAAAAGGCCAGCAGGGAAAGGAAACAAGTTTCTACAAGCATGCTTTAGGCAGGAAAAAACACCAAGACAGCAGTACAAAACCCAACAACAATGACCAGTTTCCAACCAGGCAGTGAACATTCTGAACAAAAGTTAATATGGGGGAATGAAAACAACACAAACACCACAAAGAGAATAACCGTCACCATGAATTACTTGCTGTAACTGAAATGAACTTCTGAATGGCTGCATTATAATAATATTTAAATATTTATAATATAAAAAATGACTAAAAAGATCACATATTGTCCCATATTTTAGACTATTTAGACAGGTTCTATCTACAATGCTCTTTTGTTAACAGCTCAAGGAAAAATAACCAAACCCCCCCCCCCCATTATCATGGCATCCTGGTAATCTTGTACACATAATTTACACTCTGGCACTGTTGTAAATTAGACGTCCCATTCCTATTTTCAATTTCAATCTATAGAAACACAATTCCTACCTCACCACTCCTGGTGTCGGCGCCTTTATTCTGTTCACAACAGCAGCAACGTAGAAGCAAAAAAAAGTAAGGGTTAATAATATGGGCATTAGTAGTGACAAAGAGAATGCTGACCCTTCTTTTGAAGCTTCCCAAGACCTGGCCACCATACAGCACAAGATAAGATTCATAGGCAGCACAAAGTTTTGTGACAATAATTATCATCTCAACTTATGCTATAAGTGTGCGATTTGTATTTAAACCAAACTTGCACATCGGATTGGTACAACTTTATTAGTACATGACGAGGTCATAAAAGATATATTTACACGAGGGTGAAAAAATGCAACACATTCAAATCAATTCTCAAAGGAGCAACCAACTCATGCTTTATACATTTTATAACTATCCAAAAGGAAACCCTTCAAATTTATGTATCAACATTGTATAGACTTTATTTGTGTCGTTCATTGGGGGAAAAAAGAAAAAGAAGAGTAGTCCACAGTGGCATCAATGAATCTATTTACACGATTTTTCACACATTATAAATAAAACATAATTATCATGTAGGTGGGAAGTACACTGAATGCTTTGAGTGTCATTAAGCAAGCCAGGAATAATACCTCCACAACGTGATTACAGTTTGAGGTGAGCATGACAGAAAGCTTTAATTGTAAAAGCAATGGCATCTAGCAGAGGGAGGAAAGTAGACAAAGCAAATCACATATGTATACAGTAGGTGCTTATGGAGAGGACTGAAAAAGCCCTTTGGATGAAACATGGGAGGAACGTGGAAGAATACTGAACAAATAATGGGAAAATACATTTATGAGTATTATGGTACTAAGAACAAGAGAGAAAAAAGGAATCTTTTGAAGAGATGTATGTAATTTAACGAGAAAAAAAGATTTAGCATGGGGAAGGAAGACGATTAATTATTTGATGAGGTTTTATCATCAACATATGGTGAGAACTTTGTATGGAGTTGACCATATTTTCTTTAAAACTAAAAATAATTGTGTGCCATCTCAAAGTGTTTTTGCGTTGGATCAAAGTATCAGTGATGAAAATACTTGCTATGATTTTAGTGTTTTTGTGGGGGGGGG